CACTGGACCTCATGCAACGTGGATTCTGTGCTTCTCCGCTCTTCCTCCAGACTCTGGGTCCTTGATTTCCAAAGGAAATGCAGAACTTGCTTTCATCAGAAAACATAACTTTGGACCACTCAGCATCAGTCCAGTCCTTTCTGTCCTTGGCCCAGGCGAGACGCTTCTTGCGCTGTTTCTTGTTCAAGAGTGGCTTGACACACGGAATGCGACACCTGAATCCCATGTCTTTCATGAGTCTCCTCGTGGTGGTTCTTGAAGCGCTGACTCCAGCTGCAGTCCACTCTTTGTGGATCTCCCCCACATTTTTGAATGGGTTTGTCGTCACAATTCTCTGCAGGGTGCGGTTATCCCTAGAGCTTGTACACTTTTTTCTACCACATTTTTTCCGTCCCTTCGCCTGTCTGTTAATGTGCTTGGACACAGAGCTCTGCGAACAGCCAGCTTCTTTAGCAATCACCTTTTGTGTCTTGCCCTCCTTGTGCAAGGTGTCAATGATTGTCTTTTGGACAGCTGTTAAGTCAGAAGTCTTCCCCATGATTGTGGTGCCTTCAAAACAAGACTGAGGGACCTTTTAAAGGCCTTTGCAGGTGTTTTGAGTAAATCAGCTGATTAGAGTGGCAGCAGGTGTCTTCTATATTCAGCCTTTTCAGAATATTCTAATTTTTTGAGATACCAAATTTGGAGTTTTCATTAGTTGTCACTTATGAATATCAAATTTAAATGTAATGAACATTGGAAATACATTGGTCTGTGTGCATTGCATGAATATAATGTACAAGTTTCACGTTTTGAATGGAATTACTGAAATATTTTCAACCTTTTGATGATATTCTAATTTACTGGCCAGCACCTGTATAAGGAACCCAGCAAATTGCATCAAGTCACTGACTAGTGTCAGTGACTACACAGCAATCCTCATACTAAGCAAGCATGCAGCGACAGTGGAGAGGAAAACTCCCTTTTAACAGGAAGAAACCTCCAGAGAATCCCGGCTCAGTATAAACAGCCATCCTCCATGACTCACTGGGGATGGAGAAGACAGAGAGAGAGAGAGCGCGCGCACGCACACACACACACACACACACACACACACACACACACACACACACACACACACACACACACACACACACACACACACACACACACACACACACACACACACACACACACACACACACACACACACACACACACAAAGACAAGTAATGTGTCTATAGTTATATTGTGATTTCTTAGTAAATATTCTATTTGGCGAGAGATAAACTTTATTGTATTTATCCCAGTGGATCTATAAGTAAACGGGTAAACTAGTAGTAGCACATCCAACGTCAAGGAAGCAAAAAGTTATTATCAGGAGAGGGAGAATGTTTTAGTGGTTAGCAGCAGTGTGCTAGATGATGGCCCCCTCCATGAGGCCACCACAGCTCCAGAGGCATGTGTCTACTTCAGCTGGTCTGCTCTGAAATCAGGAAGGGTGTGAACCGCTCACATATCTGCTGTTGTCTCAGAGAAACTGAAAGCTTACGCAGATTAGACTTTCAGCATCTTTTTGTGCTGCTGTGTGGGTCTCTACACTCCAAATGTGAATAAAACCCATCTATCAGATTTGAGTTTGAATTTTAGGAACTGTGTCTGAAAAAGTCCCAGACTGTGATATCACATTCAGTTGGGTGAATTTGCATAGAACCACCCTCACCACAGTTGCTAGGCAACAGGACATACACTGCATGAGACTGCCCCATTTTAGACGTTCACTTCCTGTCTTCCCAATCGATGAAGGACCAGGTGTCTGGTGTAGACGCCAGCCTGGGTCGAGTCTTTCGAAGGACACAGCCCCTGAATTTGGATGTTTGTTTTCAAATATTTAAAAGTTCAAAAGTGAAAATAAAAATTGTGATTTTTCTTAAAAGTATTGTTTTAATAAAAAGCCCATCTCCCATAAAGAAGTCCTTCACTGAGAAAACCATGTTTTACTTGATTGTTCACTCCGTTTCATGCAGGCTGAACATGAAATAGTCTCCTACACCTTTCTCCTGCAGTAGCTCCTGATAGAAAACAGACGGTGAAACTCTAGGATCAGAAGATCCTGACAGATCTACGTCACACTGTCACCAACATTCATGGACTCACCCATCTTGACTCACGACGGGGAAGGCTTTGGTTTGGTTTAGCATCCAGGAAACAGCGGAGAACGTCTCAGCTGTTAGCATTAGCAGCTCCACCACACAGCAGAACTCCTCCACGTTTGTGTTATTTATGGAGATAAAACATCAACGCTCCAGAGCAAACAGAGTCAGCGGTAGAGTTGTGATGCTGTTAGTAGTGTTGTCAAAAAAATCGATACCTAGATATAAATCGATACTAAAAGTGGTATCTAAATTAGATATTCCATCCCTGTGGTATCGATATTATGGACTATTATACACAGCCTTCTTCAAGTACACCGACACGCACGACAGCCAGATGCCGTAAAGCAGCCTCCGCCTCCCAGACAAACAGAAGAAGACGACGCCGCATGGCTACATTGCAATTTCCCATGCGAGTTGTCTCCGATCCAAGTTTTGTCTGCCAAATAAATAAACAAAAACATAAACAGCGAATTTGGGAGGCGCTTCACAGCCCAACTTAATTAGCATACCAAGTCCGACACATAGTTGTATATTCACGCTTATGTGCTTAAAGGAAACTCCCGTTTATTGCAACCCGGACTTAATTTCTAGCATGCAGTACGTTTATTTATTCACGCTGACAACTTTGGTGCTACTTGGATTCCCCGGGGTCTTTACCGTAGATCCATCGGCGAATCGCCATCAGCGTATATCCATATAACGGGTGCGGACGGGCCCCATGGTGCCGCCTCGAAATAAGATTATCTGCACCAAAACATCTCAATGTCGAAAGGTTTTGTTAGGAATCATTAACGTGATTCCCCTGTTCGTTTGGAGCGAGTCTGGGATTTCTAGGCGTAAACAGACTAGCTGCGGCTAATCTAACCGGCGCTTTTAATGACGTCACTGCGGTGCGCCAATCTGTTTTTATTAAGATTACCGGTAGATGTACCTTTGTCCTACTGTGGAGAAATTCGTTTTCTCCCTTTATTGACCAACAGAGTTGTTCAAAAGTACAGAACAAAACATATGGCATTACATCTTATGACAAAAATGCACCTTAAACAGAGTTTAAGCAGCAAAACATCACTCTGCAAATAGTGTATATATAGTGAGACAATTCATGATTTAAAGTGTTAACTTTCACCAGTTTTTGTATGCACGGTTTAAAAAATGCTGATACTTGAAAGGTTTAAGCACTTTATACACTTAATTCTTAACATTTAATTTTTGCAATATAAATTGAGGAATGTTATTTTTTGAATAAACTTGTTCAATAAATTGGTGTTTTTTAATAGTATCGAAATCGAGTATCGAGTTTTTTCAAGTATCGAATCGAGTTTGAAATTTTAACATCGTGACAACCCTAGCTGTTAGCCAATCAGAGATGTCCAAGTATCAGGAAATAAGACTCCAAATCCTGTCGTCCGAAGCTACTTTCTCCTCCAGCTGAGTTCTCTGTGCTGAAACAGGCACTTCTGGGCCAAACATGTGATGTTTTCTTTTGTTATAAATATGTGACCGGTTGTTTCAGTGCCTCATTGGTGCAAAAATGCAGTAAATTTGCAAGCTTCTGTTACGAACCTTCAGGTTTTTCAAAAATAAAAAGAGGACTGAAAGAAAAGCTGCACTGCTGAAAGCTTTCCTGGTGGAGAATCTTTTTTTAGTCTAAACAAGATGAAACTGATGCCCAGCTGAAGCAGACACACCCAGATAAGGAGCTCTAATGGGGACCGACTCCCATCGCAGACATGCAGATGGTAGACCAGCACGGAAATGTTTTTCTGCTTCTGGTTTCGTGGACGCATTTCATTTTAACTAAGTACGGTTTCAAACTACGCATGAAAAAACAAGAGGGCAAAAATAACCTCTGATGGGTTAATTAGTGTTAATTAGTGCCATCGCTAAGACTCTAAAGGAAAAATCTTGCAAATATTTAAAATTATATTATTTATTTTATCATTATCATCAAATTAACTATTAATTTATTTGTTTATTTAATCTATTAAAACAAAAATTAAGATAATCATTAAAACCATGTCGGGATTTCTTTATGCGTGAGCTCAGAATCTCCCTTCCAACGACACGGACGTTTTCCTGCTCGTCTCTGATGATCGAAATAGAGTTCACAAGAGCAAGGGAGTAGGATGAGGCATGCTAGCATCAGATGAATGAGACTAAAACGTCACACAGACACAAGTTAAAGGAATGAAAACCGCTCCTGACTCATGCAAAGGTGTTTTCTTTCAAGGGTAAAAACTAAAATACACAGCATCTAACGCACCAAAAAGCTCAGAAACAGAAGAACTCAATCAATCAATCAGACTTATTTATAAAGCGCTTTTCAAACAAAGTGCTACTCAAAGTGCTTTACAAAATGACCCCAGATTCCCATAACAGGTTAAAAACATTAACAGACATATGCAAGCACACACACACACACAAGTAAAAATTATATTTGGCTGAGTCCAAATGAGTGAGGTAAGGCAAGGAAACGCCATCAGAGGAGCCGTCTGCCCCGGCAGCATCAGGTCTTCCACACTAAGTCAGGGCGCTCAGTGGAGGGGGAGCATAGACCCCCACCTCCACTCAAACACTACCTGTAGAGCGCCCAAGAAGCTACAGTCGACCACTGCTCCCAGGGCAGAGGGCCCCTACAGAGGAAACACTGGATTAAAATGAGTAAAAATATAATAAAAGAGCTAATATAAATGACAAAAGTTAGAAAATAAGTAATAAATAAAATCATATAGACAGTAAAATAATAATATTAAATAATAAAACTGTGCTAAAATATAATCATATAAAACATGCAAAGCAAGCAATAAAATAAAATCATGTCAAACGAGAAATGAAACTGTAGTAAATATTTAGATAAAAGCTAACCTAAAAAGACGGGTCTTGAGCCTGGACTTAAAAACATGAACGTTCTCCGCTCTGCTCTGAGAAGAACTGCTTCTACAAACCATGAAAGCCCAATAAACTCTGCCTCCAAGGTCTCTGAACGAATTCCACCTCTCAGACGTCTCATACATGTAAAGGGAGTGACATCACAACGTCTGCATGCACGAACCAATCAGCTCAGGGTCGATTAAATGATTCCTTTTAGGGGTTTATCAGATCACAAAGTTTTACAATTAAGGAGCTGATTGTCACGTTTGGTACAAAGGTTAACATCAAGACCTGAGAGCCCATAAATAACGATAAAAGGAAAGATTTGACAGATGCATTTATAGTTTTTAAATGAAGGAGAAGTAAAAATAATTTTAAAAAAGCACTTTGGATTGATTTCAAAGACCCATGTTATCAGATCTGTGGTCGTATTCGCCCTCTCGTCATTATCGAGTCATATGGAGACAAAAATGGGACGTTTCTAGAGTCTCGTGGTTGAGTGAAGTCTTCCAACGCAGATTAGTGCTGCCCGGCTTTGACGCCATATGTTTGCTTGTGCTGAAAGAAGCTTTAATTGGTTCATGCCAGCCCTGAAATCAAACCTTTAATCCTCGCAGCACTGCAGAAGTTTGGGCTTGGATTACACCTCCAACTCGCCAGCAGTTGTGACATTAAACACCACCGAGTGCGTGTGCACTACAGCAACTGGATGACGAAATTACAGCGGGTTTAATGAGGCTTTAGGGTAAAAAACAAAACAAAACGTGTTTGAACATCTTCTACAAATGACTTGGTGATTGGGATATTTTACCGCAGCTTTAGAGTCTGTCTAGACTTCAGGTTGGTTTAAGACTCAAGTATACGGACGAGGATTTGGAGTGTCCTGGAGCGCTATGATAAAAGGAATTAGTCCCCTGCGGTGACCGTTCTCAGTTTGCTAGCTTTTGCTAAATTTACTACGAGGGTCTCAACATTTCCTGAAGTCAGCTCAAATGACCAGAACTGAAACCACCGACCTTTAGGACAATAAAGGACCATTTAAACCTGACATGTACACTAAATTATAAGTGTTTTAACAAAATAAAGCTACTGATTTTGACTGAGTTTAATTTAAACTTTTAAGCTGAAAAACAACATTTACAAAAATGAAAACTGCTTAAAGAGGTCCTAGAATAACGTTCTATTACTTACAATTGGAAACTGTTGTGAAACTTTGTTGGGGCTCAAAATGACCCAGGAGACCTGATAAAGGGCCAGACACAACCCTATAATAAAGCCCTACAATGAAAATACTGTTTTATCCAGCCCAGTTAGCCAGGATATGTATATTAAATGAGCTGTGTGCTGATTGGCCGGTTTACACCAATGGATTCTGGAAGTCATTCAAAGTCTGGATATTCCAAGTACATCCTGGAACGTTACGTGTGCTCTGACAATCTTTGTCGATTCTTTGTCAACTTCACTCAAATCTTAATTAATTTACAGTGATCTCTAGTAGGAATGAACGCCTTGTTAGGAACTATAAAATAAGCCAAATCAGAGTTGAGCTAAGACAGCAGTATCTGGAGTCTCATTTCCTGATATGTGGACATCTCCCCTCTGATTGGCTAACAACAAGATGACTCCACCACTGACTCTGTTTGCTCTGCAACTCTGATGAGCCTGGAGGAGTTCTGCTGTGTGGTGGAGCTGCTAATGCTAACAGTTACCTTCTAATAGCCGAGACGTTCTCTGCTGTCTTTTGGATGCTAAACCAACAACAGCCTTCCCCGCCTCGACTCAAGATGGGTGAGTCCACGGATGTTGTGACATTGTGATGTAGATCTGTCAGGCTTTTCTAATCCTACAGTTCCACCATCAGAAGCTAATGCAGGAGATAGGTGTAGGAGACTATTTTCCTTTTCAGCCTGCATGAAAAACTCAGAGTGACCCGTTAGAATCAGGAATAATGATTTAAAATGAGTTTTTCAGAGAAGCTGACATTTACCAGTAGCTAAGACTAGCATTAGCCGGGCTAGCGTTGTTCAGCGGTTAGCATTACCGTGTCAAGTCAAATGTTTATATATTGTCGATGTTGAAGTGGGTTGGGACATGTAACTTAAGGGTGTGTGTCTACGCTCATGAATTATTATTCCAGCCTTTCTCAGACTAAGCTGTTTCTCTGTGGCGATTACAACATTACTGAATTACATAGGAAAGCAAAGATGGCACAGAATGTTTGGTATAGTATATTAGACGCCCCAAGCTTCCCATTTTTAACAACAAGGTAAATGTGGTTTTAAATTCAGCAACTTGTTCTCAAGTTAGTTTTTCCTTCAACGAAACCTAATTTCAAAGATTTATTTCAAAACTAAACTTAATTCTGGCTTGAAATTCTGAAAGAGGGTATAAAACCGGCTAAAGGCTGTAGGATCTTACACTCGGATCCAATTTTATACATTTTTCAACAGGTTTAGTCAGCAGGTTGGACATAATCAGTATACTGGAATGTTGGAAATAATCAGAAATAACATTATTTGCTTAAAACAAGCCTTATGTTTGGATGTCTGTACAATGAAGCCACATAAACTAGTTTCCAGCCTTTGGAAAATCCTGACATGCTGAAACTCAGTCTTGCCTTTCTCATCTGACAGCAGCCCATCTGGCCCGTCAGTGATAGTGACGCCTGGCCCCCTGGTGTATTTTTGTCCTGCTGCTTCCCCTCTGGGCTGATATATGCAGTCACAGAACCTTTTAAGTCAAACGCTTATTCCAGGAAGTGACAGCTTCTGCAGTTACATTTTTCTTTGCCCTACAGGCACCACAGCACCGATAAGCAGCAAACACCCGCATGAGCAGCAAGCACCAGCACGAAACGATCTGAGATTAGCATCTCGGCGGCCGGCTGCAGAGCAGCAAGAGAAGATGGAAGCTAACAGAAATTCCAGTCGACTGCTGAAAGGGTTCGGAGTGATTACGATTTAAAAACAGACAAAGAGCCTCTGACAAAATGCCGAATGATATTTGACTACGAGAACTACCAAATAATATCTGTCAAATAGAACTAATTCAAATCTTGAAGCCACTGTCAAATGTTTCTGGGGTGATTGACGGAAATCTTCCACTTAAAGTACAAAAATCTGACCTTAAAATTCCTGGAACAAAATACTTTGAACACAAAATCAGAAAGAACAATAATTTTATTATTTTTCCATCATGAATGATTTTAAAATCTAAAAAAAACACAAACGTTAACCATACTCTAAGGTACGCCTGTTAAACTAGTTGTTATCAGCCAATCGCATGGCAGCGCCTCAACACGTTCAGGTTTCCACACGTGGAGAAAAAGATTTACTCAAGTCCAAACCCAAAATCAGAATGAAGACTTTAAAGGACTTTGGACATGTCATGGTTGCTGGTACCAAACGGGCTGGCGTAAGCTACTGGGATTTTGTCCCACAACCATCTCCAGGGCTTACAGAGACTGGTCTGGCTGGTTCTAGATGCAACAGCAGCTCATATCAGCTCTGGGTCCTAACATGGTCAGCAGAACCTCAGCAGCTGCTCCAGATGGACTCCAGCAGCAGAAGACCACACCAGGTGTCTCCTCTGTCATCCAAGAACAGGAAACCAAGGCTACAACTCCCACAGGATCACCAGAACTGGACCAGAACCTTTCCTGGTCTGATGAGTCTGGATTTCAGTTGGGTCAGTATTTTGTGTCACCAACATGAACGCGTGGATCCATTCGGCCTCGTATCGCTGCTTCAGCCTGGTACTGATGGTGTAATGGTGATGGGGGTGTTCTCGCCTCAGAACCACCTGAGGCTGGTTTAAACGCCGCAGCCTGCCTGACTACTGCTGCTGACCATGTCCATCCCTTTATGACAACATGGGCCCATGCTACTTCCAGCATGATCATGCACCATGTCCCAAAGCTGAGTGGGAATGGGAGATTATGATGGATGGAAAGTCGACACTGAAGGAGTTTATGTTCTGTGCTGCAGCAAAGGAGTCCTGCTGTGTTTGAGCCACTTGTAGCCTGTCCATCTTCTGAAGTCAGACATAAAAACTTTAAAAAGTGTTGCTGTGTGAATCCACTAATATCCGATTATGCCCTGGCTTCAGTTGTTCTGAAGTGTAAGCTTCCTATTTTCCCACAGGCATATGTTAATAAGGTCACTTCACTTCCTATAATTAACTGTGGCAGAAGCTATTTTAATAACAAAATACATTTTTATGTGTTAACCAAAAATTAAACCCCGTTAGAAGCTTAGCAGAGGTCAAGTGTAGTTAGGAATAAATAATTAGTCTCCTACTTAAAAACAACACAACACTCTTTAATGAGGATTTAGCCAGAGCCAGGACCTTTGACCTTTTAACCCTTTATGCTGACTGAGCTGCTTCAAACCAACACACCTGTATGTAAGCTTCTGTAACAGCTGCTCTTCCTTACACCCATTAGACTCAACATAAGAGTTCAGACAGCTGATGGAGACTTGTTCATAATTTCCCTGACGCACAAACTGAGAGGAGCTCTAGTCAACATCTGAAACATTAATCCCTAAGATTTCAGGTCTTAGGAGACTCGGAGCTACCTGCTGACCACAAGCATCAACAGGGTGGATCAAAATTTAAAATGTAAGATCTGATTCCAGCGACGCAGTGGCTGGAAGGTCTACAAACCTCTTATTCCAGGGGTCTCGTGATATTTCTGATAGAGGGAAGTTGGATTCTGTTCTCTAAAACACTTAAAGAAAGTTCAGAAATAATGTAAAAACAAATCTCTAAAATAATAGCCTGGAAATGAATTTGGGTCAGACCTTTTGTCTCTTTATGTCCACTTGTAGCAATAAGATTAAATGTATTCATTAGAAATAATACAACTGTAAAAATAAAAGGCTTAGGAAGTCAGAAAAACTGACTTGACTTCATTATTAGTTATATAAGATCTAAAAATACAACCAAATTGCATAGAAATAACAAAACAAGAGGTTATTTTCTATGTAATGGGTTGTTTTTGTAGTCTGGGGAGTTTATTCACCTGCTGGACCTCAACAGGAAACGGAGCTAATTAAATATTTACAAATTAAAACTAAAAACAGGAGTTAAGATGTAAAACTTTGAGACTGGTTTACGGCTTTTTAAACAAACATTGACTCACCCTAAACGTCTCAGTCGGCTTCTTCACACCGAAGTCCATTTAAGCTAAAAACCGAACCTTGTCCGAACCTCCAGGCGGGTTCTGTTCGGTGTCGAACCGATAAAGCAGGCTCCGGTGCCGGTTAGCGCCGTGTCGGCTGAGGGGTTCTCTGTCAGCGACCCGTTTCCCTCCCGGTACCGGAGGAGCGTGTGAGCTCTGCGCGAGCCCGACTCTAACCTGAAGACTTACGTCAATATACGTCACACAACACAATCAACTTCCGCTGAGAGGTTTAAACAATAAAAGCCTCTCCGGAACTTGGTTTGAAATAACTTAGAAAATAATTACCTTTAATTTTTTAAAAGTAATCATTTGCTCACAGCCAACATGTCTTTGTCAATTTACCAATATTTTACTAAATTTACTTTAATGTGTCTCAAATGTTTGTTAGGATAATATAAAGGTTGTTTTTGTAAATTTCATATTGCAACGCTAACAAGACAAATGATGATGCACAGTGATTGTTAAAACGCGATCAAATACTCAGAGCAAACAACATGTGGTCAAATGTTTTTGCTTTAATTTTAGATGAAACTCAGCTGGTATGATGTGTGTTTGACAAGCTTCATCAATAATGGTTATGGCATGTCCACAATAACAAGTTTTCTGTTGTGTTCTGTGTTTTATCTAAACAATTAAACCAACATTCACATTCAAAACCTTTTTTTTTATTTAAGAAGGTGTATATTATATATTTTTTTTCTGTCACAAATTTTCAAATAAAACGGAGAAACATCAAAGTGGCTTAAAGTCACCCCTGAATCTTTTTTTTTTTTTTTTTTGCTGATAAACTATAGATATATGTGACAGTGTGAGTGTCCTGTCACAGTGTCCCGATTGATCATGCGCCCTGGCTACTTGGCCAAGGGGATGTCCCTTTGGCTGACTGGTTAGAGCGTATAGCCCCATTCCCACCTGTACCGGGTCGGCCCGGGCCGGGTAGCGTAGGTTGTTTACATATCTGGGTGGCCTGGAATTTTCCCGGGCCAACCAAGGCTCATTCTCGGCCCTCTTCCCGAGGGGTACTGCTTCAGGCCGACCAGGGCCAACACACCCACTGCTGACAAGAAATTCACACCTTCCATTAGAGCAAGCCTCTGATTGGTGGGTAGAATCAGCCCACATGGGCTTAAGACAAGGATGTGTGGAAACAACCGGGCCAGACTGGGGCCGACTGGGGCTACCCGGCCCGGGCCGACCCGGTACAGATGGGAATGGGGCTTTAGACTCTCACCCGGGAGTCTGGGGATTGAATCCCGCCTGGGCCCTCGTTTATCCACCTTGCCACATATATGAGTGTCTAATTGTGCCGTTGACACGTGTAGTCAAGAATTTGGGACTTTAGCGCATCTTAGTTACAATTTCAATTATCTACCTAAAACTGTCAGTGTTGCGTCCTCTTCAGATAAAAACTCTGGACTGCATTTGAAATTTAATCTGCCATCACGATTGGCTAAGAGGTCCACTATGATGTAAGCTGGTATCATATGATGTCACAATGCCGTTTCTCTATATGCATACTTGTCCGAACTTGTGTACTTACTTCCTTGTGAAACGTCATCAACGACGGCCCAAGGACTGTTCCAATCCTAAGCGTGCATAATGGAAAGTTCGCTCAAAGTTCCCGGATGTGTTCTTGCTCCGCCCATTGTATCGAGGATGCATCAAGGCATCCTTCTGCAGACTTGGGACAGCAACGTTTCCCAAAATGCATTGCGTCGCAAACCATTAAACTCCGAACGTCAGAGGAAAAAGCTAATAACTGTAATGTTTTACATTACAAAAACAAATAAAACAATATGAAGTTGTCTGTCACTGTAAATAATTGTGTGTAAACTATAATTTTGCTGTGTGCGTTTCAGTTGTACTCTTCACGGTCCCTATAAATTCTAATTAGCTAACCCACTATCAAAATAAAAGCAACGTAGTGCTGTTCTGATGAAAAATAAACTTTATTTATTCATTACAGCGCGAAAAATGCTAGTATTTTATTTGTTTTGATCAAAGTGGGCCAAATGTAATACAAATTACACTTTCATTGTTATTTTGTTATATAAGGAACAAAATAGACTTGTATTTTTTTATGTAAGGTCGTTTTTTTTAAAGAGCAAGTCACCCCCAAATCAAATTTTTTTTGCTGATAAACTATATAAAGGAGTGTCTAATCATGCTACAGACACGTCTAGTCAATAATTTGGCAGTTCAGTGCATCTTGGTTAAAATTCAAATATTCTGCCTAAAACTGTCAGTGTTGCGCCGTTGTCAGGGAAAAATTCTGCACTGTTTTTGAATTTAAATCTGCCGCCGCTATTGGCTACGAGGTATGCTATGATGTCATCTGGTACATTATGATGTCATAATGTCATTGTGAGCCTGTGTGTGTGTATTTGTTAGCGGCTCCGCCCTCTCGGTCTGACAAGCAACAGCGTTTGTTGCATTTTTCAAACATGAAGTGGGAGTGAAGTAAGTTTCTTGTAGGGGGTGACTTGCTCTTTAAAGAGCAAGTCACCCCTTACAAGAAGCGTACTTCACTCTCGCTTCATGTTTGAAAAATGCAACAAATGCTGTTGCCTATAGCAGACGGAGAGGGTGGAGCCACTACAAATACACACACTCATGACATTGTGACATCATAATCTACCAGTTTACATCATAGCATACCTCTTAGCCAATGGCGATGTCAGATTTAAATTCAAATGCAGTGAAGAGTTTTTACCTGACGACGGCACAACACTGCCAGTTTCAGGCAGAAATTTTAAATTTGAACTAAAATGCACTAAAGTGCAAAACTATTGACTCCACGTGTCTGCAGCACGATTAGACACACGTTTGTACAGTTTATCAGAAAAAAATAGTTGATTTGGGGGTGACTTGCTCTTTAAACATAGCAAGAAGTGGCGCTTGTTGCCAGGACACAGCGGAGTACGGCTCTGTTCTAAATGTCGTCCTCGTCCTCCTGTTCCCTGTAGAACAGACTTTCCGGTGTCCTTGCAAAGAACATGCTTGTCTAGTACTAGAAACGGCCTGTGTGTGTAAAGCAAGTCACCCCCAAATCAACTTATTTTCTCTAATAAACTATATAAGCGAGAGTCTAATCGTGCTGTAGACACATGTAGTCAATAATTTGGCACTTTAGTGCATCTTAGTTAAAATTTGAATCTTCGGCATAAAACTGTCAGTGTTGTGTCGTGGTCAGGTAAAAGCTCTGCACCGCATTTGAAATTAAATCTGCCAACGCTATTGGCTAAGAGGTACACAATGACATTGACTGGTACATTATGGTGACACAATGTCGTTGTGAGCCTGTTTGTGTGTATTTGGCCGTGTTCGAGATGAGCCAGTTCTGCACAGATTAGATCACCGGTGCTCGGTGCATGCCGGTTAGATTTGTGTCCGACTTGCTCTGACGTCGTGCATACGTAGGCAATGACATCCTCGTGAGATCAAGGCGGCCGCAGGCTTTGGAGCAAGGCGTGACGGGAAGCACCTGGCTCTCACCTGATCTAAAATCTGATTGGTTCACAAATTCTGATCCAAAGATCCGGTGGTGGAATGCGAAATGTTAGTTGGTCACATGTATTCTGCAAATCATGTAACGTTGATGACAGCTACATAGGCCATAAAGAGAAGTGTGACTTGTGTTATTTTGTCACGTTTCCTATGAACACACTAAACCCACAGCTGATAACCTTTACTTATTATTACAGTCATATCTCCATATACAATATATTATATCCACAAGCACGTGAGGATGTGTTTCGGTTGCTAACAGGCACCAGAATTAAAATAATAAATTTAAACAAGTATGAACGCTAGCGCGATATCTTTATCCATGGTCACCTGCGAGCTACATGTAGGGAAATCTGTCCAACTTAAACGCCGGCTTTCAGCCACTCCTCCTGCTGCGTCCGTCTGCTCTCGTCTGTTTCCCAGGCGAGGCGCTGCTCAACTCAAACAAGGCTCCACCCTCTCAGTCTGCCAGGCAACAGCATTTGTTGCATTTTCAAACAGGAAGTAGGAGTGAAGTAAGACTCTGGTAGGGGGTGAGTTGCTCTTTAAAGAGCAAGTCACCCCCTACCAGAGTCTAACTCCACTCCCACTTCATGTTTGAAAAATGCAACACATGCTGTTGCCTGGCAGACCGAGAGGGCGGAGCCGCTAACAAATACACACACACTCAGGCTCACGACAGCATTGTGACATCATAATGTACCAGTTTACATCATAGCATACCTCTTAGCCAATAGCGGTGGCAGATTTAAATTAAAATACAGTGCAGAGTTTTTACCTGACAACGGCACAACATTGCCAGTTTTAGGCAGAAAATTTAAATTTTAACTAAGATGCACTGAAGTGCCAAATTATTGACGACACGTGTCTGCAGCACGATTAGACACTCGTTTATTTAGTTTATCAGCAAAAAAAAGTTTATTTGGGGGTGACTTGCTCTTTAAGGAGGTCAAATCGATTTAATACATTTCAAGTTTCCACACTGATTTGGTTCAGTCCTGCTCTGCCCCCAAGCGGTCATACGGTGCTACAACATCCTATAATAATCATTTTGTCTTTGGGTACCCATCAGATATGAGCTGAGAGGATTGTGTCCTACAGGTGGGCATGGAGGTTACTTTGTTGAAGTGTGTAATAAATAGAAGAGATAAAAATATTCGATAAATATGAAAAAACAATAATAAAAATCAGGCGCCAAAAACGTTTAAAAATGTAAAAAATGAATAAAATACCTCTTAGACAGTCAAATTCACACACACACACGCACGCACGCACGCACACACACACACACTGCTGGTTTCTCGCATCGACATATATACTTTCGATGGTTTCTCGTTATGCACTGGGGCGATGTTACCATGGTAACAGAGCATTTTTAAGCGACTTTACCTTAGCGTTTTCAAAATGGCAAAGAAGATCCTCGAGGAGGAATACAGGAAGTTGCTGGAGGAAAACTCCGGGCCCGAGCAGATCGTCGAGCGGCTGAAGGCGCAGCTTCTGCCTCTGGATAAAGAGGTAAAGGTCCTGCCCGGAGATCTGAGTCAGAGGCGAGGTGATTTTCACATTTATGGGATGGCTTGGCAGCCTACACATAGTGTGCGTCTTCAGGGCATTTCATCCTCTTTTTGCTGGTTTTTAGATCATACGATCTTCAGCTGGGAGCAAACGTTTCAAAGTTAGACGTTTATGTAGAGCCGATCAATGCAAAACACAGTTTTATTTTGAAATGCTTCCAGCTCAACCATAAACGGAACATCATTTGATCGATTTTATTGGTTTATTTTAGAAAATGAGTCGACTCTGGTCTAAAGTTCGTTGTCTTCTGTTTTCTTCTTGGAGCTGCAGATAAAAGTTTGGTTAAGTTTTCCTGTCACATTTACAAATTATTTCCTAAAGATATTAAATCTGCACACATATGTAATAATGAAACTAAAGAAGAGAACGAGTTCGTTTAGACTTTAAGATTTTGTGAAATTCCTTTCTGGTTTTAGATAAGTGATGCTGAAAGAACGATTCAAGAGGGGATCCTCGTCCCGAAGGACTTGGACTTGAAGAACACCCTCGAAAACAGAAAGCAGGTGCTTCTAAGGAGCCTGGAACTGGTAAATAAAACAAACATTAGGTTTTATTAACTTGTTAAATCATATTACAGTAAAAGCTTGCTTTTCTACCTTTCTACTACCCACTCTTCCAAAATATAATATAATCAAACATGCATTTCCCAGTCTGGAATATTAAAAGCAGGAACTAGGTTTTTAACAACCTCAGTATTCAAACATGCTTTTCACTGGACGTGTTTTATTTAAGAGGACTGCATGGTGGTACATGTGTAGCACTGTTGCCTCACAGCAAGAAGGTCACAGTTTGAGTCCCACCTACAGAGTCAGCATGTTCTCTTCATGCATGCTTTGGTTTTCTCTGGTTTCCTCCCACGGACCAAAAACACACATGTCAGGTTAGAGAAATAACCGTGACTCGTTTGACTCCCAACTCTAATTATTTGTTTGTGTTTTAAAGGAAACGCAAAAGTTTAATGACTTGTGCAAAAAACATGCTCAGTATGAAGAAATAGTTTTTCTGAGGAAGCAAGTAGAAGCCAAACTGCAAATCAAAAGGAAATTGGATCAGCAGCTGGCCACGCTGCAAGCCGAGCAGGCTTTAGATGCTTCCAGCCAGATGTAAGTCTGTGTTTATTAGTGAGAGCTGTGCAAAAGTTGGAGAAATTTAGACTTTTTTGTGTTTTTTTTAAAGGAGACAAATGCTGAAGCTGAAGATGAGGATCGATGAAGAAAAGTTTCACTTCCAAAACACAAAAGAGCGACTGAAGGTTAGCACAGAGTGTGCTGCTAAACTGCAGACTTTCATAGGAGGGAAGTGTCGGGGTATTCCACACGAGGAGACAGCAAAACCAGGTAAACACACGAAGTTAAACTGATCAAAAAACCCAAACATAAAGCAATGACAGAAGTTAAGTTTAGCCCATCTAGCAAATAAAAAGCTTACTTGTTGGTGATTTGGCTTTTTGTCACCAAAAATGCTTCCAAGCAGATTTCTACGGTTGACAAAAATAACCTGGGGATGATTTTATGTGTGAAGGGAAGAAAATGTTGTCCTGGAGCTACGTAAGGCGTGAAACTCACAGAATGGTGATGATGGGAGCGCAACTCCAGCTCTGTAGTAAAAAATCCTAAGGATGTTTGACCTTTGACCTGAAGCAGGTTGTTCATGTTGGAAAACTCTCAGATGTTGCAGAGTTAAAAGTTCACTGAAAAAACATTTTTAATGATTATTTCTGATTCTAACGGGTCACTCTGAGTGTTTCATGCAGGCTGAACATAAAATAGTCTCCTACACCTATCTCCTGCTTTAGCTTCTGATAGAAAACAGACGGTGAAACCCTAGGATTAGAAAAGCCTGACAGATCTACGTCACACTGTCCTGGTTTAGCGTCCAGGAAACAGCAGAGAACGTCTCAGATAGTAGAAGCTAACCGTTAGCTTTAGCAACTCCACCACACAGCAAAACTCCTCCAGGCTCGTGTTATTAGTGGAGATAAAACATCAACGTTGCAGAGAGTCAGTGGTAGAGTTGTGTTGCTGTTAGCCAATCAGAGGAGAGATGTCCACATATCAGGAAGTAAAACTCCAAAACCTGCCGTCGGATCTCTCCTCTGATTTGAGACTTTTCTAGTTCCTGAAACTGGTGCACGTGTGTTTTCCTTCCCCAGAGTACGACTTACAAGGCATTCAATCTTTTTAGAGACCACCACAAACCTATTGAAAATATGAGCAACGGGCCTCTTTAAAAGAATTATGCATAATTATCACAGTAGTTGCAACTAGGTTTAGGGGTCTGCTGCTTCTTCAACTAGGGTGCGGTTTGAGTAGCTTTTAAAACATTTGCTGACAGTCACAGAGGCCTCGGAGCAGCAGGAGACGAAGGAGCTGAGCTCCAGCGACCAGCTGGGTGCCATCGGAGGTGACCCAGAGATGTTTGTCACTCAGGATAAAGAGACTCAGTCCAGCTACGTGGATGTATACATCTGTGGGCTGAAGGAAGAACGCAGGATGATAGAAGAAAGTATAAAAAAGACCCAGGTGTGTGTGTGTGTGTGTGTGTGTGTGTGTGTGTGTGTGTGTGTGTGTGTGTGTGTGTGTGTGTGTGTGTGTGTGTGTGTGTGTGTGTGTTAACACAGACATGACTTTAGTGGCTGATTGCTTCATTTGAGATGTGTTCCTGCTACAGAAAGACATTCAGATGTTGAAGCGAGAAAATGAAAATGTCAGTGGGCAGCCCGGGAATCTGGAGGTGAGTCCCACTGTTGGACCTGTGCCAACGGAACAGGGTTTCAAACTAAACACGTCCACTCAGCTGCACTGTCTGTAAATACTTAGGAGGATTTTTGCTAGTTTCAGGCCTAGTCCACACGTAGCCGGGTTTTTTTTAAAACGAATAACCGCCCCTCCAAAAACTTGCATCCACACCACCTCGTTTAAAAGAAAAACTCTGTCCACACGTACCCAGATAAATACGTTGTTAAGGACATGCCAGACCTGTAGGCGGCAGTACTTCCCCCGTTCTTAACCTCGTCCTTCGTCTGTGGTCTTCCGCAAGGAGCAGTAATTCCGCTTGCAAAAACAAACAAGCAGAAAGCGCTTGGACAATTGATAAAGCGAGCGCAGCTCTGAGGGCATCCATGCTGTCGGCTAGTGTAAACACAGGTCGCACACGTGATGTCAGCATTTTTTTGTCGCGGAAAGTGACGTTGCGGACCTTAAAACTCCGGTTTTGTCTGTCCACACGCAGACACCCAAAACGGAGAAAACGCAGATCTTCACGTTGGCCGGAGTTTTTAAAAAACTCAGTTTTCGTGTGAAAAAATTCCGTTTTCGTGTGGATGACAGGCCAAAACGTAGAAAAATATCTGCGTTTTGGCAGATCCCCGGCTACGTGTGGACAGGGCCTCAGACTTTTTTCTTTGCTGCAGTATCACCTGGAGAAATTAAAGATGCTGGGAAGCTCTTTGGAAGATCATAAAAAGGTTGTTCAGAAAACTCTGGAGGATCTGGCAGCTGGCATCCGTGGAGCTTTAAAGGATGTCGACACACCTGCTGACGTCACCTCGGACAACCTCCTAAGCTGCATTGGTGAGCGGAATAGTAGTGACTCTAGGACTGAATGGTACATTCATTACTCGTGCTGTTACTATTTCTCTCCTCAGATACTCTTCATGAACGTATTGCCACGCTGCAAATCTACCCCAAAAGCAAGGGAACGCATGCAGGTGTCAAACGAGACAGGAGATGAAACGCTCCTCTGTGAAATGAGCAGCACACAGCTAGTTTCTTATTCTCTCAGTATGACTTGCTTTAGCGGGTGATGAGGAACGACGCTCCTCCAGGTCGTCTTCTGGATGCTAGTCGTGTGCGCTCCCCTTTTCTCTTGGAACAGCGTTCAAACAGCAGCTCGTGAACTTAATAAAGAAGTACAGATTATTTCCTGCAAGCATCAAACACTTCTGGGTTTTTGGTGTTTCTCTCTGGTCATTTTCATCTCAACTTTAGAGGAATTTTTCTTCACTTAGCCAAACTGATGCATTGAGATCAGGCAAGTAGCATCTTTTTAGGATTTGTTACTTATAAAAAGCATGAAAAAAACATATATTAATGGAAGAAATGGGCACAATGTATTATTATTGCATAATGAAGTTAGCAGTTAGCAGAGCCGCAGCAAAGAACGTCTCAGCTAGTAGAAGCTAACTGTTAGCATTAGGAACTTCACCCTACAGCAGAACTCCTCCAGGCTTGGAGATAAAACAGCTACGTTGCAGAGAGTCAGTGGTAAAGTCGTGTTGCTGTTACCCAATAAGAGGAGAGATGTCTACATATCAGGAAGTAAGAGCCTAAATCCTGCCGTCTGAGGCCCAATCCAAATACTCGCGCTGCGCCCTACGGTCTTCTGCGAAGTGCACTTGGAGGAAGTGCGCAGTAAGGATTCAAGTGTGCAAATAATTGCCAAATTGGGTCAAGGAGCTTTGCGTCATCGACCGCAACGCATGCTGGGACGCTGTGCTAATTAAAAAAAACTTTATTAACAACTTTCAAACAAACAACCAATCAATTATTTGAAATAAATTTACATTCATTGCTGCTTCGTCTACAACATTCAGAGCATCAACTAATCATCGTAAAATGAGCTACTTTCCTTTGAAAAGGCACTTGAGCCTTTTCTCCCGCAGAAATGGATCCGCATCAGTGCAGACTTGGTGAAGTGCGGATCAAGGGTGCAAAAGGGGCGTGATCGACTTCTGCACTTGAGAATCGGGACACGCCACACACTCGCACCCCTGGTTGAGATCGTGCAACTGAAGGGTGCAAGTGTGGAAGTTTTCCTGAAACTGGTGCACCAGTGTTTTTCTTCCCCAAAGTACAACTTGCAAGGCATTCGTTCCTACTAGAGACCACTGCAGTGTTCTACACCTTTAAAGTGAGAAAGTTGTGAAACGACTCATTCTGGAAGGTCCTGAAACTGTCAATAACTGAGATCACTTGAGAGGGATTTAGAGCTTCATGAACGCGTTTTGTAACGACTAGATAAGAAAAGAAGTCACAATATGTCTCATTTAAAGAAGGATCAGATCCTAAAGGGCTCATTTACCTGCTGTCATTGTAACTGTGTCACACTTTTCTACAGTTTGCTGTATATGATGGGGTGGGGGGGTTAATGGACTAGTTATTATTTTATAGTAAATAAAAAGGATCAAACTGAATAAAAGTTTGTGTGAAACAGTTTAACTGACCACTTTGTTTATCAAATAAAAATGCATTTAGTTTATTTTCCTTTTATTTTTGCCTCCACTTAAACTCTTCCTCCCCCTGATGATATCTGAATCCTCCAGGACCATTAAACCCACCCACCACCTCCAGAACCACTTCTCAGACTTTCCAAATAAAACGGACCCAGCTGCGTCGCGGCGCTGCGTCACAGCCGCTCCAGTTGGCTGCGCCTGGGAGGGAGGAAGATGTCGGGGATCACGCTGCTGCTGCTGTCGGGGCTCTGCGGTCCGCTGCTGCTGCGGGGCGCGGCGATGATGATCCAGCGGGGCCCGGTCAGTCTGAACGAGATGTTCCGGGAGGTGGAGGAGCTGATGGAGGACACGCAGCACATTCTGGACGAGGCGGTGGATCAGGTCTGCGTCACCTTCACTCATTCAGGGAAAGGAGGTCTGGAGATGAGGGCAAATAGAGAATGTAGCTAAAATATTTCCTGGAAAACTTTAACTGTCTGGGACTTTATTCCCAGCTCTGATAAATCTCAGTTTATAATCTGTAAACCGCTGGATTTTTTTCACCAGAGAGATGATGAGCCATCCAGGCCTTTCATGATTCACACTTTCCCTTTAAAAAAACAACTAAGATCAGATGATGTCATGTCCTTTAGATGACCACTGAGAATGCTAAATTCCCTCCATCTTCCCTGGATCTGCATCCCAACGGGACCATGAAGTTTAGGGATGGAACGACTCGGGTCCTGGAGAGAACAGAAAAGGTGGGCTTCCAGAAGAGATCAGAAACACGCTCCTCACACAGCTCAGCACGTGAGTTACTAGGTTTTATGTGCAGGAGACCAACAACAGAACAGGAGAGACTCGTCTGTCACGCGTCCACGCGGAGATCTCTGGCCAGTGGAACAGCGTCAATCAGGTGATTTTTGTGTTTCCTGTTTATTCTGTGAGTAAAGATCAACAATGAGGTGGGAAGACAGGGCCAGTTCTAGACTGGCATATCTGAGGGGGCAATGCCCCCTCTCGCCCCACCGTAGAGCTGGCCTCGTGGGAAGAAGCAAATAGAAGCAAAATGTTTCCATCCCAAACCCAGATGAGAAGTGGATAAACAGCTGGTAAAGATAAACAAAACCAAACAGGATGTGGACATGAGCGATTACAGGTGATGCAGGTGGAGCAGGATGGAGTAAAGCACTCTGATAGAGGAATAGGACCAAACAGAACCTGAGAGGATCTTTTCAGAAACACCTGGGAGCTTCCCTCTTTCATTTTGATGTGTAAACGGTTCAAACTTTAAGGATCCTGGTTTCTTTTAACAACTTCTCCAGTCTAAGGCTCATTTTTTTAGCAGCTGGAAAAGATTCAAAAAGCAGACTTAAAACTCAGAAAAGCTCAAAATGTTGTTTTCCTCCTTTCAAATGAAGTTATTTAAAATCTAATGAACTTCCAGAGTCTGTGGGAAGAGGTGACCTGGTTTAACGGAGGCGGGGTCGTCTCTGCCCTTTTTTCCACTAAGTGAGCTCATCCAGGAAAGAGACCCGCGGTTACTTTTATGGTTTTCGCCAACAGGAGGCAGCTTATGGAGAATGTTGGGCCGTTTTCCTCCACAGCAGTGGTTTTGATCTCCAGCTTTCCTGGCAGCTGTTCAGACTGTGGTTATGTTAATAGAGCTGCTGGGAAAAAAATGCCAGGATGTAAAAAAAAAAAAAAAAAAAAGCCTTCAGGCCAGACTGGCCAAGCTCCACCCACCTTTCGCTCTGCAGAGCAGCAACTTCTCCTCCCTTAAACCTTCAAATCTGATGAAAATACCAGAAAAGAAAAAGAATAGGATAAATAAACTTCAGTTTTGGTTTGACCAAGATCATTAAAGTTCATCAGAGTGTAACACACACACACACACACACACACACACACACACACACACACACACACACACCACACACTGGATGGATCTCCAGGACTGTGATCCGATGACTCACTTGTGGCTTTAAATATTAAAAACTCCACCAAAACATCAAAAACCAACATTTGGAACTGTTAAAATCCAGTTAAATAAAAAGTTATGTGATGTAAATACATTTGAACTCCCAAACTTTGTTGCTTTTGGGGTATTTTTGAAACAAACAACTGTCCTTGTTGTATTTTACCTGCCCGCCTCTCTGGAAAATGCTAAACGATCTGGGATGTCAGTTGAGGTGGCTCGGGCATCTGGTCAGGATGCCTCCTGGATGCCTCCCTGGTGAGGTTTTCCGGGCACGTCCAACTGGGAGGAGACCTAAAGGTAGACCCAGGACACGGTGGAGGGACTATGTCTCTCACCTGGCCAGGGAACGCCTTGGGATTTCCCCAAAGGAGCTGGCCCAAGTGGCTGGGGAGAGGAAAGTCTGGGCCTCTCGACTTAGGCTGCTGCCCCCGCGACCCGACTCTGGATAAGCGGATGAAAATAGATGGATGGACGGACGGACGGATGGATGGATGTATCTGGGATGTTTCTCATCAGAAGCCGCAGGTCCGTGCTCCCCTATGTGAGGAGGAGTTCTGCAGTCCTGCTCCTCTTCCGGTCCTCGTTTACAGAGCAGCAGAGTCCACGTGTGCTAGTGCTGAAAGGTCTCCACAACCTGGTCCTGAGCCAGAGGGGGTGCTGCGTGGGGAATCTTTGTCAGATCTTCCTGTTTAGTCCTACCGTTGCCCTGCATTGCTTTGTCCCACGATTAAAACCCTTTAGTGATTTTTGCAGCTTGCCTCAACAACAACAAAAACAAGGTATGGCATTCAGCATGAGCATTTATCTTGTTGCCATGGCGTTGGTTAGAGGGCAGAAGTTTAAATGGGAAATTGACGCACTGAACATTTTATTAAATGAACCATGAGACTTGAATAAACTATGTGTTTAATGGGTTTTGTATGAGAACTGGATTCATGAATTAACCTGTAAACAGCTTATCTGCTCTGTGCTGCCCCCATCTGGCTGGATGTGAAAGTTCAGAGTCTAAAAGAGAGACTCCCACTCTGATGCTTCTCAGGATTATTTTAGCCCTTCATTTTCGAGGTCTGGTGCTTAATGTATTTTTAGTTTTTGCCTCAAGAGTCTTCATCAAACTTTTGGTTTTCATGAATCTAATTTAAGATTTTCTGTTTTTTGTTTGGAGGACCTCTAAACCCAGATGTAAACATTTATTCGTGTAACTTTTTCAATTCAATTCAATTCAATTCAAAAATACTTTACTAATCCCAGAGGGAAATTGATTGCTGTAGTAGCGTCGTCGTCGTCGTCTTCCTCCGCTTATCCGGGTCCGGGTCGTGGGGGCAGCATCCCAACTAGGGAGCTCCAGACCGTCCTCTCCCCGGCCACCTCCACCAGCTCCTCCGGCAGGACCCCAAGGCGTTCCCTGACCAGATTGGAGATGTAACCTCTCCAACGTGTCCTGGGTCGACCCGGGGGCCTCCTGCCAGCAGGACATGCCAGAACCACCTCCCCAGGGAGGCGTCCAGGGGGCATCCTGACCAGATGCCCAAACCACCTCAAATGACTCCTTTCGATCCGGAGGAGCAGCGGTTCTACTCAGAGTCCCTCCCGAATGTCCGAGCTCCTCACCCTATCTCTAAGGCTGAGCCCGGCCACCCTACGGAGGAAACTCCTTTCGGCCGCTTGTATCCGCGATCTCATTCTTTCGGTCATTACCCAAAGGTCATGACCATAGGTGAGGATTGGGATGTAGATCGACCGGTAAATCGAGAGCCTGGCTTTCTGGCTCAGCTCCCTCTTCACCACGACAGATCGGCTCAGCGTCCGCATCACTGCAGACGCCGAACCAATCCAACTGTCGATCTCCCAATCCCTCCTACCCTCACTCGTGAACAAGACCCCGAGATACTTAAACTCCTCCACTTGGGGTAGGACCTCTCCCCGACCCGGAGTTGGCAAGCCACCCTTTTCCAGTCGAGGAGGTGCTGATCCTCATCCCAGCCGCTTCACACTCGGCCGCGAACCTACCCAGCAAGAGCTGAAGGTCAGAGCTGGATGAAGCTAGGAGGACCACATCATCCGCAAAAAGCAGAGACGAGATTCTCCTGCCACCAAACTCGACACACACCACACCACTGCTGCGCCTAGAAATTCTGTCCATAAAGGTTATGAACAGAACCGGTGACAAAGGGCAGCCCTGGAGTCCAACCCTCATCGGGAACAGGTCCGACTTACTACCGGCTATGCGGACCAAACTCACGCTCCTCTGGTAAAGGGACTGAATGGCCCTTAACAGAAAGCCACCCACCCCATACTCCTGGAGCGTCCCCCACAGGGTGCCCCTGGGGACACGGTCAGAAGCCTTCTCCAAAAGCAACAGCCGCCTCAACAATCGCAGAGTGGAACAAGGTAGCCCACTCGGAGTCAATGTCCTCCACTGCTCTCGGGACGCGCTGTAGTAGCTCAGAATAATAATAATAATAATAATCAAGTCATCAAAGAGTTGTTGTATATTACAATGGCTGTTGGCAGAAAGGATCGCCAGTAGCGGTCAGTGTTGCAGCCAAACTGAAGAAACCTCTGACTGAAGACACTCTTCCGCTGTCGGACAGTCTTGTGAAGAGAATGCTCAGGGTTGTCCATCATTTTCTTGATTCTCTGGAGAATCCTTCTTTGTTCATCTCCTCCAGCGGTTCCACAGTCGTCCCCAGAACAGAACCAGCCTTTTTTATTAGGCTGTTGAGCCTTTTCAGGCCCCTGCTTCTGATGCTGCTACCCCAACAGACGATGGCTGAAGAGATTACACTCTCAACAACAGACTTGTAGAAGATCTGCAGCATCTTGCTACAGACACTGAAGGACCTAAGCGTCCTCAAGAAGTGCAGTCTGCGGTGTCCCTTCTTGTAAACGGCTTCGCTGTTCTTTCTCCAGTCCAGTCTGTTGTCCAGGTGAACTCCAAGGTATTTGTATTCCTCAACCACCTCCACTTCTTCTCCCATGATGGAAACAGTGTTTGACTTCACCCTGTTTCTTCTGAAGTCTAAAATCATCTCCTTTGTTTTGTTCACGTTCAAGGTCAGATGATTGTTTCCACACCATGCCACAAAGCGCTCCACCAGCTCTCTGTACTCAGCTTCCTGTCCATCTCTGATACACCCGACAACTGCAGAGTCATCTGAGTATTTCTGTAGATGACCAGTCTCTGATTTGTACTGGAAGTCTGAGGTGTACAGGGTGAAAAGGAATGGTGAGAGTACAGTCCCCTGTGGTGCTCCAATGTTACTGATCGCCTGGTTTGATGTGCAGTTCTTCAGCCTCACAAACTGTGGTCTGTTTGTCAGGTAGTCTTTAATCTAGGCGATAGTTGAGGCCCCCACCTGTGTCTTCTGGAGTTTCTGGCAAAGTACATCAGGTTGGATTGTGTTAAATGCACTGGAGAAATCAAAGAACATGACCCTCACAGTGCTGCCTGCTTTGTCCAGATGACAGTGGATTGGTTGAAGCAGCTGGATCATGGCATCTTCAACTCCAACTCCATGGCGTTAAGCAAACTGCAGCGGGTCCTGATATGTCCTAGTTTGCTTATTCAGGTGGACCAACATGAGTCTATCCAGGACCTTCATGATGTGGGATGTCAGGGCAACCGGTCTGTAGTCGTCATTGACTGATGGGCGAGTTTTCTTTGGAACTGGAACAAGGCAGGATGTCTTCCACAGGACTGGAACCTTCTCCTGGGCCAGGTTGAAGAGGTGCTGCAGAATCCCACAGAGCTGCTCTGCACAGGCCTTCAGTACCCTGGGCTGACACCATCTGGACCTGCAGCCTTGTTCCTGTTCAGTCTCTCCAGCTGCCTCTTCACCTGACATCTAGAGACAGATAGGTGGGAGGGTGAGGTAAATGGGGCAGCAGCATCTCCTGACTTGGCTGAAGACAGATTTATAGAACCAGAAGAGTCCATGACTGCGTTAGAGGACAAAAGAGCTGGCGTGTGACAGGAAAATGTTGGATCAGAGGAGGATGGGATGTCTGATTGGCTGGGGACAGGCAAGGAGAATGCTGGGTTTGTTCCTGAACTGAACCTATTGAAGAACTTGTTCAGTTCATTGGCTGTGTCCAGGCTGCCATCTGTGCAATCCTTCCTCTGCTTGAAGCCTGTGATCTTCTTTATCCCTGACCAGACATCTCTGATATTGTTCCTCTGTAGTTTGTTCTCCAGCTTCTTCCTGTATGCCTCCTTGCTGTCTCTGATCTTGATCTTCAGTTGCTTCTGTATACTCCTCAATAATTCCCTGTCTCCCTCCTTGAAGGCTCTTTTTTTCTCATTTAGCAGATTCTTCAGTTCACTGGTGATCCAGGGTTTGTTATTAGCGAAGCATCTCACTGTTCTGGTGTGTATGATGTTTTCCACACAGAAGTTTATATAGTCAGTGACACATACAGTCATGGCATTGATGTCCTCTTCATATCCTTGGCAGAGAGTCATCCAATCTGTGGTCTCAAAACAACCCTGCAGGGCTTCTTCAACGTCCTGTGACCATTTTCTCACAGTTCTTCTTGTCACAGGTTGCCTCTGAACATTTTATTATTTGTGCTTCATTTCTTTTTATTTGAATCAGACAAACCTCATGTTTAGTCTAATTAAAATAACTTGTTTAAATAAATAAAAAATTTAAATGACAGTTTTTTAGAAACTTGTTCCTACAGATGTTTGTATTTTCTGGGACCTCACAGCCTCTGGGATCATCTGAAACTTCTTGTGAAGGACAGCAAAGCTTCGAGAGAAATATTCCGGCACATTTCCATACCATAAATAAACAGTAATTGAGTCCAAATGTGACTCAGATATAATCAAGTTTCAGCTCTAATTATGTTCCAGATATAAAATTTAGTCTCCTTTGTCTTTAGCCCTGACTCTTCCTGGACAGAGCACAGCGACCCCATTTTGTCTGAAAAATATCAACAAAACAGCCTTGTTATTTAATTATTCCCTTTATGGAATACCAGGATTGGAAAGCAGAGTCAAGAGGCCCAGAGGTCATTGCAGCTGTCCATCATTACAGTTGCTATGGAAACAAGCCGGCTGGCAGAGCCACAGCTCCAGAACTCCTCAGCACTTTACTCTGAAAAGTCACGTTTAGCTGAAGATGTTTTACATTCATGTGCTTGTTTCTTTCTTTTACTCATAAATTTGACATTAAATTTAAGATGTGACCAAAATCATCCCACTTTGTTAATTATCGGTCTTGTATTTCAGTCTGTTGGCTTGTTTAAACCGTTGTCTGTCCAACCACAGGAATGCGTGGTGGACGAGGACTGTGGAGACCTGAAGTACTGCCTGTATGAGATAGAGAGCTCCAAGTGCCTCCCCTGCATACCAACAGATATGGTGAGGGTTCGGCCAGCCGATGTTATCACCCGAACCACACGCACACACACACGCGCGCGCGCACACACACACACACACACACACACTGGAGGTGGTGATGAGCAGTGGCGGATTTAGCAATTTGGGGGCCCAAGGCGAACACAGACATGGGGCCCCCTTACACTACATTTTCGACAATCTTATCTTTAACTGGATTTGTGAAACTCTCCCCTCTTCTGACATGAGTTATTTTCACTTTTTATTAGTCCTTCTCTTTTTTCCTGTCTTTCTCTCCTTTTGAGTGCTTTCAATATTTGCTCTGCTTTCTTCTTCCTGTCAGTGCTCCGGTGCTTTTGCCTTTATTGTTTTATTTTTTCTATTTTCCATTTTGGTCAATGTTTTCCTCCCTTTAAACATTTTCCATTGTCTTTCCTTTTCTGCTTCCTTTTGAGGTTTACATAGAAAAATGACGTCACTTTCGGAAGTGAAGATAAAAGCTTTTTTAAAGCGAGGTGCTTCTTTCTCTTACTGGAGCCACTAGGATAACTCCATTTCATGCTGAATGTTTTGACTGCCGCTTCGAGTTTGTCACGCATGCACCCGCCTCTCTTCTTTTTTTCTGCTTTCTCTTCTTCTTATTTGTGGTCTTATGGCACTTGGCAAACAACAGTTTGGTGCATTACCGCCACCAACTGGATTGGAGTTTTATGACTACCAATCACTTCCTGTTTGTGCATCGGCATCTTAAAGGACTAGTCCATTGTGGCATTAACAGAGGGGTGCCAGCAGTCAGGGCTAGGAGGCCCCCCAATATAAGGGGGGCCCAGGCGGCCGCCGACCTATGCCTAATGGTAAAACCGCCTCTGGTGCTGAGCTACAACGTAGCCACATGCAGCTGCCCCAGGGTGCACTGACAAAGAGCGGTTGCTGAGCGCCAGCACCACCGGTCTCTCCGACCACCACAAGGACACAACACCTGAAGCAGTTTATGGGTTGGGCACCATCTGCCACCATCGCCCCACCTCTAAATCAGCTATGAGTTGTAATAAAATGTCAAGAATTAGAAGAAAAATGAGTCGTTTATAAACTCTGAGGCAGATTAACTCAACGGGGAAATGTGTGAAAAATGATGAAGCAAATCTAGAGTTTATGAAGAAATCTCAGTCAAAATAAAACAAGAAGTAAAGCTGAGGACGAAACAGAACACCCAATAATCCAAAATCCAGGCAAACGCTCCGAACCCTCCGCACCACTTACTTAGAAACCCATCCACCCATCCATTTTTTGAACCCGCTTGTCCACGCAGGGTCACGGGGGGGTGGGTGGGGGGGGCTACCTCCAGCGGTCAACGAGCAATCAGGCGGGGTACACCCTGGACAGAGAGCCGGTCCATCACAGCGCAACACAGAGACACACAGGACAAACAATCATGCACACACACTCACACCTAAGGACAATTTAGACAGACCAATTAACCTAACAGTCATGTGTCTGGACTGTGGGAGGAAGCCGGAGTACCTGGAGAGAACCCACACATGCACAGGGAGAACATGCAAACTCCATGCAGAAAGATCTCAGTCCGGGAAGCGAACCGAGGACCTTCTTGCTGCAAGGCCACAGCTCTAACCACTTAGAAACCACAAAACATAAAAGGATAATCTGTTTAGAATATTTATAATCCTTTCAGCTCAAACGGATGACGACTATGTGGTTTTATAAACCGTGATTAAAACTTTATTTTTAAAAATGTTTGAACATCTTAACATTATCGTTACACACTCCCCTCCTGCAGTAAACCATCTGAGTCAACGTTTTGATTAAACAGCCACATCCTCTTTCAGCGCTGCACATTAACGGGAACTTTTCATCGTTTTTACGTAAAACAGGCTCACAGGAACCTGGTCATAGGTAAATAATCACATTAGAAGTCAGGGGGCCAAAACGTATATTTTTGTTAGCTTAGGGGTCAGCCACCTGCAGGAAAGAGATTAATGGACATGCAGCAGCGCGTGCTTCACATGCATGTTTGCATATCTGTGTTTCTCCGCTCAGCCCTGCACGAAGGACGAGGAGTGCTGCTCACATCAGATGTGCGTTTGGGGTCAGTGTAGTGTGAACGCCACCAAAGGAGCAGAAGGGACTATCTGTCAGGGTCAGAGCGACTGCAGGCCGGATCTCTGCTGTGCCTTCCAGCGAGGTCAGAGTCTTAAAGACGTTTAACTGAGATTAAACACCAAGAGCTGGCGTAAACAACGCCAGGCTATGACTCACTTCTCTGCTGCTTCCACCAGAGTTTTTGTTTCCAGTCTGTAACCCCAAACCTGCGAGAGGGGAGGCCTGTCTGAGCCACCCTAACCTGCTCATGGACATGCTGGCCTGGGATCAGGAGGGTCCCCGCGATCACTGCCCGTGCGCGGACAACCTTGAGTGCAAACCTCACCGGTGAGCATGAACGCAGCACGAATCCAACATAAACGCTGTCCTAAAACTTCTGTTTCTCTTTTACAGCCGCGGCTCCGTGTGCGGAGGGTAGAACCAGAGAAGTTGTTCAGACCGGATCCAAACTGGTGATGATGGTGCTGAATTCAAACTAAGGACCAGTCAACATGAAGATCAGCAGTTTTAATGGACCAAATGTCTCTTTAAGGCAGCGTTTGCACTGGTTGTATTATTTATGCTTTACTGCAAGAGTGTGCTGAAAAACGAATAAATTAAGGGACCCGAATTTAATTTTTACTGGAAAGTTTTATTTCTTTGTGGAAAGATGGGTTTTATTAAATAACCAGTCCTTATTGTATTTGCTAATCAGAGCATTGAACACTAGAGGGCAGACATTCATCTTTTTTTTGTAGGAGCACAACCACAAATATTCAGTCCAATTCTATAAAGCACATGATCTGATGCTGATCTCTTTATACACACACACACACACAAACACACACACACACACACACACACACACACACACACACACACACATTTATATTTTCCAATCTAATTCAGTTTATTTCTAAGGCACGGTTTAAAAACCAGTGACTGAAGGAACGAGATCACAAATACAAGCGGCCAAAGGGCTCTCCCTTAGCGATAGGGTGAGAAGCTCGGTCATCCGGGAGGAGCTCATAGTAGTAGTAGTAGAAGAAGAAGAAGAAGAAGAAGAAGAAGAAGAAGAAGAAGAAGAAGAAGAAGAAGAAGAAGAAGAAGAAGAAAAGATCCTTTCTATAGGGCCTCTCAAGATAAAAATCACGAGGTGTTTCACGAAAACAAAATATGTAAAAAATATTTTTTTTAAATTTAGAAAATGATTAAAAATTTATTTAAAATGAGCAAAAAATTGACAATTGTGATTAAAAATGTAAAGAAAGAGAGAGAGTGACTAGGAAAGAGGGAAATCAGTGGATCCTGGAATAGGTAGGGAGAGCAGAACAAGGAGAGTGTGATGAAGATCCCACCAAAACCAGCTTGAACAGGTGAGTTTCAGCTGTTTTTTAAAGGAGACCACTGAGTCCACTGATCTCAGGCTCAGGGGGAGAGAGTTCCAGAGTCTGGGGGCCACAGCAGCAAATGATCTGTCACCTTTGACCTTTAGCCTGGTGCTGCACAACCAGTAGGCTTTGGTCACTGGACCTCAGGGACCTGCTGGGGGTGTAGGGACTAAGATCACCAATGTAAGATGGTGTTTGTCCATGTAAGGCCCTATAGACCAGAACCAGGATCTTGAAACGAACCCTGAAGTTGACTGGTAGCCAGTGACACGCTGTTCCTCCACATCAAGAGGTGCCAGTTGAGATGGCTTGGGCATCTTGTTAGGATGCCTCCCTGGTGAGGTTTTCCGACCACGTCAATCCAGGAGAAGACCTAAAAGAAGACCCAAGACAGCCTGGAGGGACTATGTCTCTCACCTGGCCAGGGAACGCCTTAGGATTCCCCCGGAGGAGCTGGCCCAAGTGGTTGGGGAGAAGGAAGCCCAGGCGTTTCGACTTAGGCTGTTGCTGCCTCCGCAACCCTACCACGGATAGGCGGAAGAGAATGGATGGATTATAAATCCCAGTAGCTTTGTGGATATTTTGCAGAAATAGCAACGTGTCTTAAAAGTAAAACTGTAAAACAGCACAGCCTCAGGTTAGACTCTCCCACGGGGACCAGGGGTGTTGCTGCTGTATTAAAAGTAGGATAACAACAAAACCTCCATAAGGTGGTGTACATTCTATGAGCATTATTATACAAGTAAAAATTTGTATTGAATTAAATCAACCAGGAAGAGTAGCTGTACAAGTTACAGCTAATGGGGATCGGAATAAATGAGAAAGTGAAAAACGGATGTTTTGATGGAAAGATCTAGCCTGGCAAGCCGAAATAAATTAATATATAATTTACTTTGCAAAGCAAGAATTTAGTCTAGTTCACTAGGCTAGTATTTCCCCTCTAAGATCGTATATTATACTTTCTGCACAGGAGGCTCAGTCGTTCATGTTTGGGGCTAAAATCCTTGACCGGAAGTTGAGTGTAAGAACGTGAGTAACAAACGACAGAGTGAGACCTCTTCTCTCCGTGTCTATCTTTGGTGGAGAACGCTGCCTGCTGACGTCACGGTGGATTATTTAGACAGCCCGCTTCCTGTTGAGAGGCTCCACTCCTCCGGTCGCCTGTAGAGGTGCACGCCGCCCCTCCGCGGAGAGCTCCCCCACACTCCCAACCTCAGCCCGGAGAACACGTCGATCTTTCCGGTACGTACTTGCCTTTTATCTCGCCTCTAAGAGCCGCGCGGACCCTTCAGCTGGAGCTCTCGCAGCCGGGTTTCAAAGCCCGGCGGGCGGCTGCTCGGGAAGGGGATGCGTGAGAAGAGGAAGGGGCGGCCGAAGCGCCACGCTTTGGAAGGAAATACGCAAATATGTAGACCGAGCTAGACTTTGTTGGTCGTAAAAACACGTCACGTAATCCAGCGGTCACAGATGTGCGTCCCCGGCTTCAGTTGAACATAGAATATCTGCTAAATCCTCCACTTTGAACCTCTTAAATGGGCCTTTTTGCAGCACGTGAGGCTCTTTTCAAGAAGTGACACGGATTGGATTATTTTAATTTCCCCCTCCAGGTTTCGCAGTAATCAGATTACAGGCTGTGAAAGCCACTCTGGCCCGTGTGGGTGAGATGACCGCCCGCTGCGCTAATGGACAGCGGGTGGTTCGTGATCATGATGCTGGGCTTATGTGTGCCTAACGACAACCACGAGATCCGCTGCCCTTCATCAGCACGTCGGCCTCTGCTTTCAGCCACAGCTGACTCTGTTGAAACGCCCTTATTTAATTCATGTTTGATCGTTACTACTTCCACAAGTCACTGTTCGACTGGAAGAGGATTTATTGGCGCTGATCCAAGATCCAGAAACGATAAATGTGGAATTCCATCCGGAAGTTTAAGATGTCTGAGATGAGCAACAGGCTGACTTCTTTGCACCATGAAGACAATAAAAATATAATCTGGACTTAAAGCTACTTGAATTATAGCTGTAAACTTTATAAATCTGGTTCTGGTTGGTGTATAAATACACTGTTGCCAAGCAACAGTTAAAGTAAAGGGATCAGGGATGTTCCAGCAACAACAGGTCTTCCGTGTGGAGGTTTTATGGTCAGATTCACTTTCAAGTTCATCTGCAATTTGAATTTAAGTTATTGGAGAAATATTGGAATCGGTAGAGATCGGCCTTGGCCTTCAAACTCATGATCTCTAACCAGAGACTTGCTTAAATGTCACTATTGATGGACCCAAAGCAAGGCAGCTTTGTTCGTGTAGCACTGTCGGAGTGTGCATCCGTTATCGGGTATAGCACGAACTAGGGCTGGGGGTAAACAATTATTTTTTAAACGATTATTCTGACGATTATTTTATCGATTAGTCGACTATTCTAATGACTATTTAGACGATTAATCTAATGATTATTTTTTATTGCACAATTAATAAAAACAAGAAAATCTAAAAATCTTCCAAAAAATTGATAAATTATTACTGTAAGAGAATAAACACTACAGGCCTTCCATTTTGTATAACACTGCTTTTATTGTGTTGGTTGGTTATGTTCTGGTGACGTGTAGAACTTGGGAGTGCAGGCTGCTGCCTGAGAGGTGGTTGGAGACGGAGTGTCTCCATGCTGCTTTGTTTTGGTCACTTATGTGCGTGAGGCGAGTGGTGTTACGACTCTTCCTGGGGAGTTTGGCTCGTGTGCAAAAAGGAAGGGACAACAACGGGATTTAAAAGTTAAAATGATGATCAGGTTTATTTACAACTACAAAAAAACATAAATCTTTCCATCCACAGGTTGGGAATAATAAACTAATTCTGCCTGAGGGGAATTAAAACAAAAGTACAAATAACTAGGGATGTCCCACTGGGCAAAGACTACTGGGTTCTGGACCAAAATAAGGATCTCCAAAGGTCCAAACTCTAAACTGGGCGGTTAAACCAAACTCAAGATGATATTTTAAACTAAACCGAAAACCCACAACACTCTAAATGTAATAAAAGGGAGATCTGCACCACAAAAAAGATGAACTCTAAACCAAAACGTAACAGCTTATCCAAACGCAAGAAGCTGTTAGCGAAGATGCTAACAGTAGCTTTACCAACGTTAAGTTCAAGTTACCAAGTTTAAATAAACCAAAATCACCCAGCAGCAAACAGACCAGCACGGGGGAAAGACTGCTACCACCAAAACAGCTCTCCTCATGTCTGGAAGAAGCTCCTTTATGAAGGGAGAAACGCTCCCGGTGATTTTCTACATCTGCGATAGAGACGAAGCAGCGCATCTGACCCCGGAAGTTGTTGTCCGTTGCCAGGAGACGAAGGCGGGCAAAACAGGAAAGGAATCTAGTAGCGGACGGACGTTGTTCCGGGTCTAAGGTATTTGGCGGAGATGATAGTGAAGGTGGAGAAGAGGGCGAACTAGAGGAAAAACAGGCAGATTCCTCCTATTTACAAACTCCTGAGGATGCAACAAGTGGGCGCGGTGCGTCGACTACCGGATCTGACGTCGACTAATTTTTAGAATCGAGCCGTCGACGCTTCGCTACAGCTCTAGCACGAACTCTCAAGTCAACGTCGCAGCACAATTGAGACACAAATTCAGATGTAAGAATCAGTAACCGGGTAAAGGCTGAGCAGTTACAGTGCAGAAGGTGCAGCAGATGAAACATTAATTCAAAGGCTGATTAATACATGAAAGTTACTAGAGTCGGGGCAAGTTTGAGGTGACCTAGACCGCTACTTTCTGGACTGATCTGCTCATGATGAGTGACCTGGTGGCATTCCTCACGTGGGTGATTTGACCTGGCGTGCAAGTCGGCTCCTGCCGCCTGGAGATGCATGTTGTCACATCAACCTTGGGCAGGATGTTGACATTACTGACTAAAACAAGCAGGCTGTTGCACACAAACCAGTTGCTGCTTGACATTTTTGTTTTTGCATGATTGCATGTCAACGTCCAAAGAATGGGAAGTCATTCCTGGCATCGGAAACTTCCTGTTCAGATTGCAAATATCATCTGAAATGATGGGGTTTGTGGTTTTTCTGGGTTGAACTAAAACAGAAAACCAGTTCCGTGATGTTTCACCTCTGTGATCTGACATGAACAGCTTCTCGGAGACCTTCCGTCTATTTACAAACCCAGCCGACTCCACAGGTGCCATATTTAAGCATTATACCACATAACCTCAATTATTCCGGGTGAGGCATCCGGCATCGACTTGCTGCAGGCCTGTCTGACTGGAAGCTACAGCAGCTCTTTCACCGACACTTGATCAGAAGACCCACACAGTTCTAGCTGGCCGTAGCCAGAGATAGTAGTTATGCAGTTTCTAACGGTCACCTCGTTTGTACAGGAGATGCTGCTTTGAATGATCTTTTGCTCACCAGTTCAGCTTCCCAGGTCTGTTTAGTTTGCAGCACTGTGTGCAACATGACTTCCTGAAGTTTTATTGATTCCTGTTCAATCTGACTGTAAGTTGTTATATGACTTTAAAGGGTCCGTGTTCTATGGATCAAGATTTTAGTGATTAAACACACAAAACTTAACGTCAACCCTTTAAGATCCTACAGAGTCCATTCTAACAGGACAACGCCCACCGGTTGTTAGGAAGTCTCTTGCATCTCGCTGTTCCTCTTGTGGCGTCTGCAAGACTGTTTGTTCTGAAGCTTTCACACAAGTTGGCCCAAATAATCAAATTTTTAGTTGTGCTTTTAATTTCCTGTGACCTGAACCAAATGCTACCTGCAGGATAAAAGCTGCATTTGGGTTAAATATGGATGAATGAGCATAATCCTGCAGCTAAAAGTGGAAGTTAACACTTATTGCACAAGTTGAAACTCAATGTTTACATGCTGACTTCACATGTTTTTTTTAATTTATTTGTTATATCCTGCAAAGCAAATATAAAACATTATTATTTTCTTTACTTGGAGAAAAGACTTAAAATTGGCCGTTTGTCGTATCTGTAGTGAGTTCAAATGAAACGCGAGAGAAGGTATGAGAGGTAAACGAGGTTCAATGGTTTATTTTAATGACTCTTAATTAAAGGTTGGGTGTGAAGAGGAGTTTTCCCAGCAGGTGCAGTTGCATAACTCAGAGGTTTACTGCGCCACCTAGCGTGAATACTTGTGCATGTTGGGCAATAGTAGCTTTTTTTTTTTTTTGCCACAAACCATTTTACCACAGATGCAGTCGGACATGTTTGATGGTGAAAGATGTGCTTCACTCATTTTTAGTTCATTTGCAACGGTCTCTAGTAGGAATGAATGCTGGTCAGGCTTTTCTAATCCTAGAGCTTCACCGGCTGCTTTCTACCAGAAGCTAATGCAGGAGATGGGTGTAGAAGACTATTTTATGTTTAGCCTGCATGAAACACTCAGTGACCCGTTGGAATCAGAAATAATCATTAAAACAAGGTTTTACAGTGAAAGACCTCTTCTAAACATTCAAAATGTAAATGAACATTTTAAACATCCCAACTTGACCTGTCCAGGAGGATAGCGATGCACCAAATCTGGTTTTAACAGCTGATAAATTTCACCACCTTCATGCATTTCCTGCCTCGGTTTTTAGAATTACATTTCAGGACTACTTGCAGGACAACGTAGCCCAATTGCATCATCGGGCATTTCTTCTCTCCATGAAATTGGTCTCGGACCTGGAACCCAACTCCCCTGGAAGTAGGTCTCTAACGCCCACTTTTTCCTAGTTGTGAGCATAGATCGGCTGATTTCATGTTGAATAGGAGCTTCGTGTCACAGATGACTGCTTTAAACCTTCACCCGTACCAGAGTGGATATTCTGACTAATTACTTCTGCATTTGGGACAAAACTCCGCCGTTAAAAATCACTATGCCTGTCCACAAAGACTCGCTTCATGGCCATCTCAGGACATGTGTGTTAGGCAACTATTGACTTGTAACAGACTTGGTAGTCTAGTGGTTGGAGTAACTGACTGGAATGCTGTTCTGCACCGGTTTGACTCCCAATCTCAGCACCGACATTTCTTCTTTTTAGCTAAACCTGCCAGAATTATGGTAAATATTAGGACTAATATGTTTTATTTTTACAGCCAGTGTGGTGAGGTGAGCTGAGTGAATCAACTAAAATGCTGCTTAGAAACGACCAAAATCAAAGATCTGAAAAGACCAAGTCACCCCCAAATCAACTTTTTTTTCTGATAGACTATATAAATGTGTGTCTAATCTT